AAACCATTTCAGGTGACTACCTCTTGAAGCTCATGGAGAGAATGCCAAGAGTGTGCAAAGCAGTAATCAGAGCAAAGGGTGGCTATTTTGAAGAAACTAGAATGTAAAACATGTTTTCAGTTATTTCACCTTTTTTTGTTAAGTACATAACTCCACGTGTTCATTCATAGTTTTGATGCCTTCAGTGAGAATCTACAATGTAAATAGTCATGAAAATAAAGAAAACACATTGAATGAGAAGGTGTGTCCAAACTTTTGGCCTGTACTGTATATATGCATTGCATTAATTCGTCATGTTTATTTTTTTACCCGTACTTAACACAACAAAATACATGACATGACACCAACTACAAAATTCAAACTCTTGACTTAGTCTATGAAGACACATCCTAATCCTCTGTTGGTACACTATGGGGTCATCAGTTCATCCTCTGTATGTATCTTACTCATGCTGTTAAAGGGCAGTGGAACAGGTTGAGCTTGATTTTCCTTAGGTCAGCTGGCATATCAGCCAGGCAGAAACAGGACTCCCAAAGCTGCTGACAAGTGAAGCTTATACCTAGGCACCAGCCGTGCCAACACAACCACTTCTCAACTGCTTTCATTTCCTACAACAGTAGACCTTTTGTTGTAGGGTGCAGGGAGGCTTTGGTATGGCGCCCACATTTACTCGAGCAGGTTTATCATTCATTTGTGGTCAGACACTTTGCTAGTCAGTCAGTACAGACACTAACGGCTGTGGCATTACTTTAAACAAGGAAGTGGGACTGGTGCGTCACATGAAAGTCGAACAATGGTAATCTTTGTGCTCTTTTTTTTCCCTGGAAATTTATCTTTAGCACAATGTGAGTGTTGATACTGTCTCAATACAACCCCTATCAATGTCTTATTTTTATCCATATCTCTGTCACTGCATTCATAGTTTAACCACACCCAGACTGACTGATAACACTGTTATTATTGATAAATATGCCTTGTTTAAATTTAACTGTGCTACACCTCTGTACTTCATTTGAAGTACAGAGGTGTAGCACAGTGAATTTGAGTGGGACCCCATTAAAATTAGATTTGATGTTATATGGCTATAATTGCGGTTATATTCGTGTGTGTTGAAAATGTATCTGAAAATGACACAGATAAAACCCCAAATCTGAATTTTAATCACAAAACCATAGACTATACTGTATATGTTTATATAAAGGCTATGAACTAAACATTATACAGATTTCACATGTTGAGTTGCATCTTGAGAGCACTAAATTGTCTACCCAGTATCAAGTAAATCAAATGTGAGATGATTGTGACTCCTACAAATTTAAATAAGCTATTGTGTAAATCTAATTGGTGAACATTTTAAGAGATATGCTTGTTTTGTGTCTTTCTGAGAAAAAAAAAAAAACATTCACCATCCATTCACTTATTAACTATGTTGACATGCACACCAATATTCCGATTATGACACTATTCTGAATTTGATACGAGTCATGTTAACGGCATTCTGAATTAGGCCTTATTGCAAATGAAGCATTTTCTTATGACAACATGTGAAATATGCCAGTGTTATTCAGGTTTCAGGAGCATTCTGTGGACATGTATGCTGCGCATTTGGAATATACATCTCAACTGGTGTTTTTTACCTCAGTTTGCGACAGCTTGTGGCCTCTTGCTTGTTTACGGTGAGCTTTGTGCTTTGTCATGGATAAGTTCTACATCGCCTAACTCCCAAACAGTTTGCAAGGCTGTGGGGTAGAGATGCATGCCCCAAAAAAGGCCCACATTTCTGGTCGGAAGGATAAAAACACCTACTTCCTGACATTATGAAAGACTTGGATATCAACAGGTTTTTGGATATGCACACGGTACAACAAGTCAGCCACCAGTGTGAAACTGAGAAATCCTATTTTGATTCAAAGAAGCAAAATGGCACAAGCAGCTCCAGCTGTTTCACTTTTTCGTATTTTGACATAATAAACGACATGTTAGGGCACATTAATCTGATGCAGGACTGCATGCAAACTGGAATATTAGTGGGATATGATATGAATTTTTATAAACTATGTTAACAGCTGAGTAGAAATGTTGCCTTTTTGGAATAAGGGCAAACCCAGAATATTTAATGCATTTATACATCATCACTGAAATTATGACCAAGACGAGATCTCATCGTGTGCAAGATATACGCACAGACAGAAGGAAAATGGCGTCCGCTGGTGAAAATGTTTATTCAATGTGGTGCATCCCCTGCACAGTAAAGCACCACTGAGTCATCATCATAGGTGTAAATTTGGTATTGATCAGTAGCTCACATCATCAAAAAGTAGCATAATCCTAGAAGGTTAAATCATCATTGGGTCATTATTGACATTAGCAAATACAGCGTCTGCTGTCACAGCAGATGTTGCGACGTTAGAAAGAAGATACCAGCAATGTCTGTAGTAATATCCTACATATCGTGAATTTGGGTATTTTTGTTAACCCAAAGTGATGAAGGTTATAGTCTAATGGCAGTCCCTGGAAGACCTCCGTGCCAACACTGCTGACACTGCTGCCTTTGCCAGGCAATAGCAGCACACAGAGATTCAGATAGCGGAGGATGACGCCAGACAGGTCTCAAAACTGTGCAGAGCCCTGGATGAAAAACACAAGACACATCACCGACACTATGTTAATAACATCCAAAACAAAAAAAATTCACTCTCAGTGGTTTCTTGTCATGAGAAATACTTTTCCCGTGTCCCGTGATGCTACCATTTTAGGATTTGATGTTAACAATTAAGTATTTGAAAGGGAAAACAAGAGGGTGTGTCCCCTCGATAGGATGGTCAGTAGTGAGTTTACTGCATTCTTTTAAACTGTAATGCATCAGGGATCCAGTGCAGGTACCTAGCAACATAACTGCTGTACGCAACCTCACTGTTGCTGTAAGCATGGTTTGATTAATATAAATGTGGCATTCTTCCACTGTTCAGTTTTAGATTTTTAACAGAAGCATGTCTCATTCCTTTTTGAAAGTAAATTACTTTCTTGTGCACTGTGTTATTCAATTAAGTGACCACATCATAACGATACATTGGAAGAGGCAGTACTGACACACTATCCATCACATCACAGATTTATAGACCCAAAACTTTCATTTGATGTTGCATGAAAGTTCATATATTGACTCTACTTTTGTTTTATTGTGACCTCTCTTTGTTTTGCAGGAACCGAGGCATCTCCAGTTCATTGCCGACTTCAGTGACAGTGATGTCTACACAGTGTTGTCAGCCAAAAAACTACATGGAGCACCTACAGATTATGGTTTCTGTGTCAAGGTACCAAAACTTTCTAGAAATGCCAAAACTGTATAAAAGAAGCAGAAGTGGAGTATTGATTCCCAGCATGCTGAACTCCTTTTTGTTTCCTTTTAACTCCTTTCTCCAGTCCACAAAGTGTAGTTCAGCCCGGGACTTGAAGCTTCTTTGTGCGGATGATGAGCAGACCAGGACCTGCTGGATCACAGCCATGCGCTTGTTAAAGGTTGGCTTGCTGATCACTAACTGGTGATGTCTAAGAGGAGGAATGCTGAGTCAGTACTAGAATCAGATTTAGCTTTGGGAAGAGGTCAAGAGAAACTATTGAGTGATGCTGGATTAGCACTCCTACTCTTTATAGAAGCAGCATGTGTTCATTGTCTGGATATCTGCTGGATACAGTTTAGAGCATCAGTCACTCTCCTGCTGGTCTATAAATAATATACAGTAAAGTGCAATAGACTGTGGTTTATTTGTATCTCTCCCTTTTCATCACTACACTCAAGGGCCACTGAAAGTATTTTAAAGTTAACATGTAATAAATATTTTTGAATCAAATTTAACATGCTAATGTTTTTCTGTGTTTCAGTATGGGATGCAACTGTACCAAAACTTCATTCAGCCACACCAGAAACAAAAAGCTTCACCAATGGTAAGCCAGAGGTCTTATGTTTACGTCATGTAACTCACTTGAAATTGCCGTAAAAGCTTTTATCCTCACTTTAAAATGTACTTTTGTGAGCTTAATAATGAATCAAAAGACTATGATAAAGCTCACTAATGGTAACAAACTCCCAAAAAACGGAGGACGGAGGAACGAATGGAAGAACGTCAACGGAGGACTCCATAGCACACTTCCTCCACACCACCCTGTCTCGCCTGCAAAAGAAAAGGAGCAATGTAAGATAGCGGTTTACTGAATGCAGTTCAGCATTTAACACCATAGTTCCTTCCAGCCTCATCATAAAACTCAAGGAACTGGGATTAAACAACCCAGTGTGCATGTGGATCCTTGACTTCCTGATGGGCAAACCCCATCCTTAACACTGGAGCACCCCAGGGCTGTGTTTTGAGTCCCCTGCTGTACTCCTTGTACATACATGACTGTGTAGCCTCTCCCAACTCCAACATGATCATCAAGTTTGCTGACAACCTAGCTGTGGTGGGCCTGATGACAGATAACTATAAGACTCTGTAAACAGTGGTTTGTTCGGCTGAACATACAATAGGTGCTGCTGTACCCTCCCTAATGAATATTCACACCAGGCGCTGTAAGAATAATGCTAGGAAAATCATTCAACCACCCAGATAACTGCTTTTTCTCCTTGCTCAGGTCGAAAAGCATTGCTCCAAAGGGTCTTCCTTCAGAAATGGACTGCACATGCCCCCAAACTGAAGAACATAGCTAATTATTTTCAGAATGATTTCATCGGACTTTCCCACTGTAATGAAATCATGACCTACTCTGCCTCTTATTGGCTTACTTTGATATTCTTACCCTGGCCTTAACCAATCTCACTCCTCATGCCTAAACCTAACCAGGGGTCATTTTATATAATAATAATCCATGTGTTGTGGAGACACAGAGCAATCTGAGCAATATGTGTTGTTCTTGGGATACCGGGCATGTCAGCCCTGTGATAGTCTGGCGACCTGTCCAGGATGTACCCCACCTCTCGCCCAATGTCAGCTGGGATAGTCTCTAGCCTCGCTCATCTGCCCACTTCAATTGGTGGAGACTGGTCAAATGTGGCCCAATTGGATGGAGGAGTGGTGTTATCCTTTCATGATTAATTCAAGAGGAACACATGAATGCCTAATAGCTATGTAAATGCTTAATCTGATCATTTCTGTCTGATTGGAATAAAGACGTTCTTTCTGCGCATGATTGCCCTACATGGGTGTAACATCAGGTGACGCAGGGTGTGCATGTGCTACACACGGCATGCTGCAGCAGCTGTTTCTACTCTTCTTTCTCCGCCTTTGACAAAAAGTCATTCATAAACTCCAAAAATATTTAACGTTTTGCTAGTGCTACGTTCTTATGTGAGTGATATTTCATTTTGAAACAGTAGCTGTATGTTGCGGTGCTACTGGCTAAATTGTGGAGTTGCTGGACATAATAATCTGTCACTACCAGTAGCAGTAGCCTGCAAATGAGAAGCTTAGAGAACATTGGTAAATTGTAACGTCCACCTATAGTCTGCATGTGAGGTGTTCAGGGGACATCTGTAATTTGTAGCTACAGAAAAAAACCTGGGTTAAACTTACACTCCTTACTACTAAACTGTATAGACATGCCTAAGCAGTTCTCCCTTATGTATTTAATTAATTGAATTTTTAAAAAAAGTACTTTTTCTGTTATATTTCCATCAAATTAGACACTTTACAGCAGATGAAAAAGGGGGTCAACGCGGGTCAAAAAATTAAATGCTTTGGGACATGTAAACACATTTTATCGCATCACTTTAATTAGCGTCTATGTAAACAGGTCAGGTGGCATCCACATTCAGAATGATTTAATTCCGATTCAAGAAATATTGTCTGTGTAACAGCTGCTAATGTTGGTTTTCCAGCCTGTTCCACTGCCCCCAGGTGACCAAGAGAAAATCAATCAATGCAGCTTTTCAGACCAATTTTCATGTATCAAAAAACATGTTGAAGTCAAAACAGGCCAAGACATAGCATTGCAGTAATATAATTGCATAGGACAAATGAGGCACCTTTAGTGTGTTAATGTGGATTTGGTGTCTCAGAATAGCCTCAGACTCTACTGGGAGCATTTTCACGGCTGTGAACACAATCTATTTATGGCTTTTGGACATGTTCGTGAACCCTCTGCTTTCTAAAAATATACAGTGATCAGCTGCTCTCAGATTTAACAACTCATCACCTCTTCTCTGCTGTCGAAGGGTCATATGTGACCAACAGCCTCGCCAAGAGGATTAGCTAGATAGATAGGGGAGTACACGAATCTGCCAAATGCAGGGTCAGGCTGCTGAATCTTCTGGAATTTACTTGACAGATTTAGCTCAACATGCTACATCGAGAAAACTTCTTCATATGATCACTGAAAAGTAAATAAAAGCCAAACTTGTATATACTATAATAAGTAACATATTTACAAGCAATGATAGGTATTTTTACATCATTGGAATTGGAGCAGAGTGAATAAGATGAATGGGAATGTCTGTATCCTCAAAATAAACACTGCTCACTTTGTTTTAACCACTCGTTTAAATTGCAAGCTTAGGAGGTGGTAGAGGAACAAATGTGGTAATTTAAAAGCTTCTTGGTAATCCTGATAAGAAGTATTTTCTTGATTGTGTGCAGTGAGCCACTCGCTATATGGCAGCTTAAAGGACTAAAATGTGCCCGTGTGTCATTCTTTTCAAAGCCACTCTAATCCCTTTTCAATAGAGTTTTCTGTCTGGAATCATCTAGGATTGATGAAGATGGAGTCACGTTACTCAGACACTAGATGGCAATACAATACCACAAGACTGTAAAAGTCAGTCTTCTTCCATTCCACAGTATATAAAGGGAGTCAACCTTAAAAAGAAAAACCTTTGGGTATTTTGTAGAGTATACTGCATATTTTGATATAATAGTTTTTTGTGTTATGATTAATTAAAGCAAAAAAAGAGTCAATTCAATACAATAAAATACAAAAATAACATTTTAATGTACGTGTGATATTTCAGAGAAGCATCTCAGAGAACTCACTCGTGGCCATGGACTTCTCTGGCCAAAAGAGCCGGGTGATTGAGAACCCATCTGAGGCTTTGTCTGTGGCTGTAGAGGAAGGCCTGTCATGGAGGGTAAGTCAAGGTGTCACCCAGTGAAAACATGTACTATTGACATTTTGGTGAACTTAAAAATCTCTGAAATAAATGGTGCTAAAAAGGGTGTGAGAGAATCTTAAAACATTTTATTCAGATATTCTGATGTGCTCTTACAATTCACAACCTTAAATCTGTTAATGTTCAGTGTAACAGTGTAAGTGTTTTTGAACAACATGGAGTATTTTCATTCACACAGTGGCATAACAAACAAAGCTCATAAGGTCAACAGTTGTAAGCACCTCAGAGAGCACTGGTTCCAGGCCTAGGGGTCCCGACCCCCAATAGGGGTCACCAAAGCTTCACAGGGGGTCGAGAGGCCTTCTTGATTTTGAGGGCGTAAGAAAACTTTTTAAAAAAACTATAAAGTAGGCCAACGTTTCTTTCATTTTATGAAGAAAACTAAATGACAGTGTAATTTTTAAAGTTTAGATTATTATTCAAGGTTTAAAGATATATGAAAAAAAATCTCACAGGCTGAAGGGCATGATGAAGACCTGAACACAAGAGCCTTCGCTCTGTGCTTTACAGCTTCATCCAGCATCAGAACAGTACACAGTTAAAACAATGAAAGAGCTAATACATCAGTGGCCAAGCACCAGGGAGAAGAAAACCGATTTTTTTTTTTTTAAGAAAGAACCCTATTAAGTATGCATGATAGTTAGTCATACAGATAACCAGTTGTTGTGTTCTGTTATTGTAATGCATTGAATATAATGTGCAATAACCACAAAATATTTCACTTGGTAAGGGGTCATCAGTTTATGCGATGATAAAAAAGGGGTCCCTTAAGGAAAAAGGTTGGGAGCCACTGTCATAGAGTAAACCATTATTGCCTCAGAATACAAAGGCAAGAGAAACAGGATATATTTAAGGGGCTCTGTGTGAAATCCAGAGTGTGCAAGTTGTCTGCACATGGTTCTCAACATAGAGGTGGCTGAGCCGGCGGCTAACATCTGATGGTACTAACTCAATAAACAGCCCTAAACAACGGCAACAGTACTGACAGTGCTGACAGTGTTACCCAGGGGAGAACAAGGCCCTGATTTAAGTGGTTATGAGCGCAGTGCAAAGCAGTGGCAATAAGCTAGCCAATGGGACACACACATGCACTACCATACATGTGCGGCTGGACCTACTGTACACAACAAACCACAGAGAAGCTCATATTACAACACACAGGGGTAGCGTGACTTCATTCTCTGCTCAAGACGCCATCACACCACTGTCTTTACATTGCAAAAATTTGTTTTGCTAATATTTTAACCAGAGTTGGGTATAACGCGTTACAAAGTAACGCGTTAGAGTACTTTGATTACTTTTTGCAGTAACGAGTAACCTAACGCGTTAGTTTGCTGTTTGAGTAATCAAATGCTTAAGTATATTTTCAAACAAGACATCAGTTACTTCCGTTACTTTTAGAACGCTGGTCCTTCAGCTCCGCAACAGCAACGGCTGTCGTTTGGTTCTAATAACGGAGATAACGTTAAACCTATCAGTCTGAAAGAAGCCACGGAGCTTGTGGCTCGCTACATGGTCAGAGAAATGCTGCCCTTGTCTACGGTTGAGTCTAAATAAGTGGAGTAGGACTCGCTGACAGACATATTTCAGACTCAGGACTTGCATTATGCCTGGTACACGCTACACGCTGGTACTCACCAATTATCCCCAGTCGTCGTTCACGGCACGTGTGATGTCATCGGGTTATTCCTGTCCTATTTTTATCACTTTTACTATTATTTGTGTCTGTTCATGTGCCAGCCGACATGTTGTTGTAGTCACCTAAAAGCGTCAGCAGATGGCAGGAGCTACATTTGAAGCGGAAGGAAGTTCTGACAAATGTTTCAGAATAAAAGCCTATTTAGAAAATGGAGGGATTCTCTAGCCGAGGTTATAAGGGGCTTTTAATTTGAAACAAGTGTTGAGTTTGAAATGACTGGTGCGATATGTTAACTTTACAAAGACAACGGAGCGGATAAAAAGTAAATATATAAACACACAGAGGGATTAATAAATAACGGAGCGTCTATAATGTAGTTTGTTTCAAATGAAGCTGGGAGCCTCTGCAGTTGTGGTGAGTAAAAGCCCCGCCGCTATTTGTTAATGTTATTACTTTATGTCCGACCGTGAGGATGTACCATTGTTTGCTAGCTTGATGCTAATGACAGTAACGTTAACTCAGCGGGTTGACAAAGTGCCTCTGCTGTTTCACACCATCATTTCCCCCTTTTACTCTGTGTGGTAACATCCCTAGAGGAAATATTAAAAATGCTGGGGTTTTGTTGTCATACAGTTGTCTACGGCAGCAGATCGTTCTGTGTTTCTACTGGTCAAAGTGACGGCTGTGATGGGAGAATTGGATCTCAGTGAAGGGCAAGTGGTCCATAACTTTAATTTTGGAGACAAAAAAATGTAGGCTGAGCGCCCTGTGGTCCATTGCCCAATAGGAAATGTAGAATACTCAAAAGTACTTTAAAAGTGCTTGAGTTACTTTTCTGAGGGAGTAACGTTGGAAGTACTTTTAAAGTAATTGAGTTACTTTACTCAGGGAGTAACGCAGTAAAGTAACTGGTTACTTTTTTAAAAAGTAACGCAGTAACGTACTTTGATTACTTTTAAAGTAACCCTTACCCAACACTGATATTAACACTGTGAAAAGAACCTTTACCTGTGTATTATCATTACTAATGTAGCTGCAACTCATTTCTCCTGCAGAGGAAGAGCTGCCACCGCCTGAGCGGCCATGGTAGCCCCTCCACATCACAGAGCTCGGTGTCAAACATAGGTTTGTGAAACACTTTTATTATTCAGATTTGCCATATGTACACAAGTGAAATAGATAATTTGCAATATATGATTTCTCTTTGTGCTGCAGTCCTCCACTTGGCTCAGTCCTGGTTCCACGGCAAACTGTCTCGAGATGAGGCTCAGCGTCTAATCACTCAGCAGGGGCTTATCGATGGGTAAATGGTTATACGCCTTTTTTGTGCCTCTGCGCCAGCGCCAGCCATAGCTTGAGGCATTATGTTTCGGCTTGTCCTTCCATCCGACTGTCCCATTCTTCTGAACACTCAAGAATGCCTTAAGGGAATTCCTTTAAATTTAGCACAAAATGTCCAGCTGGACTGGACAATGCACTGATTTTGGTGGTCAAAGATCAAAGGTCACTGTGACCTCACAAAATACGTTTTTGGCCATAACTAAAGAATACATAGGATAATTATGACAAATTTGACACAAATGTCTAATAGGATAACATGCTAAGAGTGATGACCTTTTATATTCTAAGGTCAACTTTACTGTGACATCATAATGTTTTGCAAAAACTGTTTTTTGGCCATTAGTCAACACCATAGCTCAGGAACACAAGTGGAAACATTTGGTCAGATACTGAATTGGTGACACTAATCCTGGGTGCCTTGTTTAAGATGTTTATGAAGCATCTATGTTTTATACTTGAAGCAACAATCATATTCAAGTATTGTCAACTGTCATGACAGCATACGAGTCTCGTGTAATCTGTAACTGCAACTTCACTGGTTGAGGGAGGCATACAACCTTAAAATGTTACTTCTAGTTTTTTATTTGCAGTGTGAAATTAGGTTTATTGGTAATCGGTAGGCCACTGAGCTTTTGGTGCATGAAAACACATTTTTCCTCTTACCTGTGGTGCTATTTATTAACCTAGATTGTTTTGGTGTGAGTTGCCGAATGTTGGAGATATGAATGAAACTAGATAGCACTCAGCTTGTGGTGCACAAAGCACCAAAAAATACATTTAAAAAACTCTACAGCAATGTGTCTTTTCAGAAATAATAACCTGGTTACTAGAGATAATCCGCAAACCTTGTTGTGAGCAGTTTCATGTAGGAACTATTTTCTTTTTACCAAAAATACACCCACCAACTGTATCACCACACAGAAGGAAGCTTTCATCTCCTGCTAGCTCACCCTCACCTAGCTAGCTAACATTACAGCCAGATAAAGTGAGAGCAGCATTTAAAAGCTTTCCTTTTGTTTTCAGAGTATTTCTTCTGAGAGACAGCCAAAGCAACCCGAAGACGTTTGTTCTGTCGTTGTGCCACATGCAGAAAATCAAACACTTTCAGATCTTACCTGTGAGTACAACCCACTGTTTGGATACGTCTTTTTTTAATCCTCCAAAAACTAACCTCCAAATTTGAGCCTCATGTTTAATAAGTTATCTATGTCTTGTGTGTGATTCCTTTGTGTATGTGTGCATGCCCCGCTGCAGGTGGATGATGAAGGGGAGTTATTCTACAGTCTGGACGACGGCCACACGCGGTTCACTGACTTGATCCAGTTGGTGGAGTTTTACCAGCTAAACCGAGGGGTGTTGCCCTGCAAGCTCAAACACCACTGTGCCCGGATCACCCTGTGAACAAGGGACCCAAGAGACCCCTGAGGGCCCACATGCACCTTAACTCCAGGGCCTTTCTGGACAAACACTCCCAGTGTTCCTGTGCCTTGAAGAAGAAAGATATACAGACTGAACAGCCCATGCTAACTGAAACCACTGTTGTCATCCACTATCGTCCACCATCGTTCAAACTATGCTGCACGGTCCCTCCTTGTGTTTTATTCCTAACAAAAAGCTGAATTTGAAAATAGACTTACAATACCTGACCACATGTGCTGAAGATGATGTGCAATCTTGTCTGCTGAACGTTGTTCTTCAGCCCTGTTAAGTGCCCGTGTGTGGCGGTAAATCCATTGTGCAAAGTCCAAACATGACTTCTTGTGCTGTGTATTGTTGAGCCGAATGTGTACTGCAAACAGCTCGTGATTCTGACATCATGGCACCAGTGACAGAAAGTAGTTTTTTTTCTTGTTGACATACAGTAGCTGGAATTTGAGTTTCACTGAAAACATTTCAATCAGATGTCTTCTGCAGTATGTATGCAATAGTTAAACATGTCGTCAGTTTTATTTGAAACCATATCATGTGGGGAATTTTAGTACTAAACACCTCTGTCCTGTTGTATCTGAGTAAAACTAAGCTATCTTACTTACCACTGTCATTGTATTTCTAAGTATTCAGGTTTTGTTTTTTTTTTTGTTAAGAAAATGATTGTTGTTTTCTATTTGAGAGCTACAACAACCTCTCAGGAAGTGTGCATGCCCTGTTAGCTGGACTGAGACTGCTGTAGAGAGAAAAGGAGAAGTAATGTACAGGTGGAGGGAAATGGCACACAACCTCACTCGCCTGCACTGTACATTTTTAAACGTATGTGATTAAATGAGATGTTTGTATGACATGAAATTAGTTGTGAGCTTGCTCTAGTGCGAGAGCAGCGAAATATATTTCACCATTTTTAGATCTAAGCCATTAAGATGGAAAGCAGAAATAATGTGTGACTGATTTTGATCATATCTGAATTCAGTGTATATTGAAATCTAGGTTTTATACTTTCCAAAGACTCATGTATACAGTTTGCAAAAGCTGGGTTGGTTGTATTTTGGTGTTATTGCAACCGCTGCGGATATACAGTGTCAGATATTGTTTTCAGAAGCCAATAATGCATCAGCTTTCAAAAACAAGGTGTTTTAAATGATCTTCTGTTAGTTGTTATATCTTTTTTTTCCCCAGCTGGACAACAGTGCATTGAACAATGAATGTCATGGACTGCATAGTTTTATATATAAACAAGTCTGTTTGTAATGTATGATTTGTGTGATTTATTGTCACATTTAACAATAAGCTAAAAGGTAACAGTAGGTTTCAGTGATGTTTCAAAACTGCCAGCAATTGCTGTAGTTCAGTGCGCAGCCCCGATGAGATCTGGGACAGTGTGAGGCAATCGATCACAAGACGGATACACTCAGCCTTTATTATATAAAAACAGTATACAGCACATTATAGTCTTTGTATGGTAAATAGGCCACACGGGGTCATGATACAAATGCAATGACAGACGCTAAATCTCACTACAAAATGAAACGTCCACCTGAGCCATCTCATCAGCGCACAGTGGGGCGCTTTGCTGCTCAGAAAGATTTTTATAGTGAACACATAAGTCATGATTTTTCCAAGGAGATCCGGCACAGTTAAATTTAGTCGCACTATATACTGTAGCCTGTGTATGGGACAAATTAGCCCAACATTGTCAGGTATGATTTACTGAATTCTGTTTGCAGCATATGTACACATATATGTACATACTCCATGTGTTCTTCACATAAATGATTCTCATAACCACTAGATGGTACTAGAAGCATTTTGCTTTTGCTTGTCCAGATTTATGTTTGAAATCGTAATGTATCTAGTGCAATTTAAATTACATAATACATATAAAATGTGTCAAGGAAGGAAGTGAGGCTTAGGGTGACTTTAAAAAAGAAGTTACTTAAGTGTTTTGCAACTTATTGAGCATCTAACATTTTATATGCAAAAGATTATCTGCGGACACACAAAGAAATGTTTATATTATATATTGCAATGAGTACCTGTGTGTCTGTTCTTAATCTGATCATAAGTCATTCAATATTACAGGTGCAAACAATGGATTTAAGGTGATGACATTAACATTAATAACTGACTTTCAAGGCTTCATAGAACATGAAATATGAAAGAAATAGTAATGGATATGATTGTTCCGTACACAACAGTAAACGGCAGAATGTCTTGTCTTGAAGCATCCGTGTTAAACAATCTTCTCTGTTGTGATACGAACACATTGCCCCCATACCTACCCTGCTCTACTTCAATAGCACATTTTGAAACAGTGCTCACATCCAGGGGAGATGTGTGCACACAGAGAAGTCTTAAATGCACCCCTGCTTCCGAGGTCTTGTGCTAAATGTTGTTTTGGATGTATTCCTGCCATTGATCGGAGTCTGGCTGCAGGGGGAGAGATGGCAGCTGGGAGAGACTGCGCTTCCTTTAATGAATTCATCCAGCTCTATCCTGCCCAAACGGCCTGTGGATACAGCATTTCTCCCAGTAAATAAAGACCCTCTCACCGCTCTGTCTCTGGCCCTCATGGACAACCACCACTGTTCCTAACACCTCTCACCACTACATTGGATTTACTCCTGCCTGCACTCTCACTCTTATGACTCCAGGTTTTGCACTTCAGAGTTGTCAACTTCACTCTGTTCTTAAATGCCCCTCTTGTTGTATTCCCCTAGTCTGTATTCAATTATCTGGCTTCGCTGTCTTTGGCCAATTACTGATTATCTCCAATGAAGTGAAGACCTTGCTGTTTGCTCTGCTCTTGATCCACAAAAGGGCAATATCTGGGCCTGAGTATGAGTCTAGGCAGAGTGTATGAGGAAATGAGGCTAGGTTTGTTTCAGGGGATGCACTATAGTGAAGGTTAGAGGCTTTAACTGTTCCTTTGCAAAGGGCTCTCCCATCAGGAGTATCTAAAGCCAAAAGCAAATCCAACAGCTCTTTACTGTAGCTACAGTGGCCACAGCGGACCGGAGCAAAGATGATCATAGGTCGAGAGGAAAAAATATTAAATATGTGAATGATTCTCATCTGTTTTTTATTTTTTCCACACAGAACACAGACACTTGGTGTTTCACTAAATATTACACCTATGTTAATTGCAGTTGTGGTGCTGCTTTCGCTGTTACTTTGTTTTCATTTTACAGAAATAAATAGTTTTGGACACTAGTCAAACACATTATAACAAGCATCTTGTCTTAACAGATTATAGATAGGGTTGGGAATTACAGAGGCCTGGCGATATAATATTATGACGATACTTACGTCACAATAGAATATTGTTGCAATTTTCAAACCTGTTGTGATATTCTGAGTATTGTGATTTATTACCCTTTTTCAACTGCAAATGATGTCCCCAAAGAAAAAAAATTGTCAGCACCAATCTAATAAGATTACATTTTCAGTCTGTTCATCTCACTTCAGGCATTTTTATTGCAGCAAACTGTATATATTTGACTGAAAGAGCAATTCATTTTATTGTCCTATTGGCTACCAAAAGTTCAATTTGTATTTGTAATATTAATATTTTTTAAAATTACAAAGTGATGCCACTCCTGTGTACCGTGCAAATGAATAGAAAGTCAGCCCTTGTGCTGATTATTTTATGTACTATGTAAAGCTCTATTAAATATCTAAAAATTGGGAAGTTAAAAAAGTAGACTCGAGCACAGTGACACTTTTAATGAAGGCCAAAGGTTTACCAAAGACGTTATATGTTATTTTTGTTTTTCTATTTGTGACACAAACACAATATCGATAATGAATGCAACTGTGTCCAACATGTCCAGTTAATCCAAAATCCTCCCAGATGTCTTTAATGCCATACAGTACATTCCCTATATGTTGCTTTAAATGATAACATGCAAAAAGAAAAATCTATACTTCTATAATGAACTACAAATACAAGCAATCGCACATTGCTTGACATTAAAGAAATTTTCTCAAATTTTGAATATGTATATTTACTGTAACAGTAAGGTTTTTACAGGCCATATGCAGCCAGAAAATATTAATATGCTTTATAACTAACTCTTAATTCTAAACAGATAATGGGCTTTTAACAACAGTGATACATTTATTGTAAACCATATCTAAAACGACAGTGCAATTAATGCCTTTCACATCTTTTAACACTGTGCATGAGCTTTTTCCAGCCCGGTGTGTGAAAGGGGAATTTTCTTGGTGTATTGAGCATCTTTGGTAATGTATTATGTCTCAGATAATTGCCCAGACAGTGCTTGCTCTATAAATCGCCTTTCTAACCCCTGATATGTTTTTCTGGGGGTCTTGGAACTGGCAAACGGTAAGTGCCAAGCTTTGTTAATTACAAGGATAACACATGCACTCGTCAAATAATGGATGTGGTTTGCAATTTCAAGTTTTAATAATCAATTACTGGCAGTAATTCTCTGTGGAGTCACAGGATAGTCATTAAATCTCAAAAGGCGAGACACACGCAATGTAGCTTTTTCCAAAGCCCTATTTTTAAATACATAAGGGAACAGGGTCTGCTTTAATCCGGTGCATTTTGTTGCCTTGTTACAGTATAAAGTAGCTCAATTAGACCTAGACAGCTCCGCTTGTAAAATAACTGTTTAAGACAGTGAGTGATGAATGATCATATTAACGCTTATTCCTACAGGAACTGAGCCAACAAGGGACAAGAGTAGAAAGATGCTCTGTTGCAGTAATACTGCAGATCAGCGTGTTTTTTCTCTAATATGAGTTACTGCTTTTATTATGTTGAAGCCAGAAGTTTCATTTAGCACCCAGTCCTGTATGGACTCACATAAAGCAGACATATCTGTCTGTTGTTGTTGGGCCTGAAACACCTCTGTAACTGGCCTCTTTGATCTTGGCAAACAGGTAGATGTAGTGGTATCGAATCAGTGTGCGTTTTTTTCCCTCCCTATACAGCAGGGTTCCTGTTATTGTATTTTCAAGTCCACCTTCAAAGCTGAAACATTGCAGAGGTTCTTCTTGACCTTGAGAAATTAACATGGGAGGACTGGCTTTGCTCTGAGGGAGCCCTATAGAGGCCACGTCCCCTCCTAATCCCCAGTTGAAAGGCATACCTCTGCTGCTCAGACGAAATAGTAACATCCCAGCAAGCCAAGTGTTTACATGATATCAGATGATATATCAAGACATAAAACATTCCATTTCTCTTAGGTTATTTAATCCGGACTTTTCTCTTTATAGGTTGTGATGGTGTGTTTGTGTGTATAATGTGCGGGTGAGGTAGTGAGACGGAGAGAGGGGGGAGAGACAGAGAGAGAGGAATGGCCCTGCACAGATGAACAAACAGTGAATCTGAAGTGCAGCGCCCTGTGTGGCTGCCCACCAACTGAACAACATTAAGGCAGTCCTCCATGTAAAACCTGCTCACTTCTCCCACAAACACTCGAGTTTGGCAAACGGGCAGCGGCTCAGCGGGGAGGAGCTCTCACTGGAAGGCAGACAGTGAGCTATGGACAGCAGGGAGACATAAACCACAGCTTCTGGTGGTGATGGACTGATGTTTTAGGTGATCAAAAGGATGGATAAGAAAAGGAAAACGACAGGGGTAGCACCAGGAGGGGGTCTTGGAGAGGAAAACATTTTGGACTTTAAAGCTAGAAAGACATGAAAAGCAAAGTAAAGCTGAGATGTTTGACAGTGAAGCACTTGGGGTGAATATTATTGTACACTAGTAAAAGTAGAGCCAGACACTCAGATTCACTTTCCTGTGATGGCTATCATTCACACTGTAACATGTAGTTGGGAAAAGAAACTTCAAAACAACATGATATATATCATGGGGCAATTTGCTTCAAGGTTGCAGAGCAGAACTTAGGATGATATATTGTCCTTCCATTTTTCTGCAAAATAGGTCAAAATGTTCACAGTGGCACACACGTACACGCATGTGCGCATGTGCACAAGCACATTTACACACGTATTGGATCAATTTACATTCCTGCCTACTTTTTTACTCTCATTTACATGGTGTGCGAGTGACTCCTGAACAGGGTAGGAAGCCTTGTGGAAGAATTAGGAAATGGTCCATTTCTGAGAACACAGTGGAATAGAAGCAGAGCAGCATATGTTGGGATTTGAATGGTCAATCGATGAATAACCCAGAGCGGTGTTTTTCGGTGCAGATTGGCAGGCATTGTGCAGTGTGGTATCTGTGTGTATGTGTGTAAGAGAGAAGGGGATTCATC